TGCTATGGCTATAGTCACTGAATGGTGTAAGACTGTGTGTGAAGACTGTGTGTGCATGTATCATTCACACCAATCTGTATATGCATGAATGATACACACATCCAAATATACACACATATAGTTGCTTCATTTCTTCTACAGAAAGAAATTAACAGTATATTTTTTAGCATCTAATTTTTTATAGGACTGTGAACTAGTGTGAAATAGCATTCTAGACAAGCCTTACCATTTAGGTTGTATCCTTAAAAAAACCAACAACAAGAAAACCACTAGTTAAATGAAAGTATCAAGTCTTTGTCATACTATTTTAATAGGCATATTACTTAAAGAGTATAGAAATGGAGAAATTGCCCATGCTTTTAACAAGATTGAAAGAATAGGAGTATTACAGGAACTACAATCATTCTGACAGGACTAATGGGATTTGGGGGTTGCCAAGAAAAATCCTCATGAACTACTCTAGACTCTTTTCAAGTATATTATGGGCTGGGCTATGCACTTCTGAAAATATTTGGAACTGCAGGGATGAGAAAACAGTGAAAAGGAGAAGGGAAACTATTTGGCCGTGATCCATTTGGGCCAACTCTAGCCATAAAAGTTCAGAGTAAGTAAAACAAAACACCAATAGGAGAATTAATAACCACTTAGAACTAACAAAAAAACTATGGTTAGAATTCCATTGTGTGAATGTACCATAATTTCTCAAAGCACTTGTTTTACTTTGAACATTTTAGCTGTTTCCATTTTCTTGTTATTGTGAATAACATTGCTATAACATTGGTGTACAAATCTCCATTTGTGTTTTGGTTCTATTTAACTCGGGGAATATTCCAAGCAATGGAATAGCTAGGTTGTGTGAAATCTCTGTGTTCAGCTTTTTGAGGAAATGCCAAACTGTCTATCAGAGTGGTTGTAGCATTTTACAATCCCACCGTGTATGAGGATTCCAATCCTTCTATGTCCTCTCTAACCTTTATTGCTTGTCTTGCCACTGCTACAGTGGTGAGATGGTATCTCATTGTGGTTTTGATTTGCATCTCTCTTATTGCTTGTGATGGAATTCAATGCAACTCTCAGAAGCTATGATTTTGAAAACCATTATATAACATGGGAGAGGCTAGAGAGCATTATGCTAAGTGAACTAACTCAGTCTCATAAAGATGAATACTGCAGAAAACCATTATTGTAAAAATAGAAAGATGACAACTAAGATGTATACCAACGTCCAAGGAGGGGAAAAGAAGTGTGGAGGGTGGCTGAAGGTGAGGAGGGGGAAAATTTCAAGGTTCAGAGCTTGGTAGACAGAGTGAGGGGATGAAGGAATTAGGAAAGATCCAATGGGGACCTGAAAAGGTGGTATAACGGTGGGTATATACCAACGGTGATTAATTTTATGAAATACAATGTATGGATGATCACATGAAACACAGTGTGAATGAAGGAATTAATGAAACAATGCATATGACTTTTTTTAAATGCAAACCAATATAAAATAAAATTTAAATAATGAACAAATAACTATGCTTTGTGCTTCCACTGGGTTCTCATTTTCATTTCCTGAGGCTATGTGGCTGGGATTTGCTACAGGAAGTCTTCTTTTAATCCAATAGAATAAGAACCAAGCAGCAAAAATAGCCTCTGACTTTTTGTAAGGTAAGAGCCTAATGATGGCTATCTGAGCAAAGCTCAGAAAACTGTGGCATGCTTGTCAGCTGTTAGCTTTAAGCTTCTCACTGGAATAACCATTCAAATGTTACTCCAGTAAGAACCCTTTTGAGCCTAAAATACATGTAACCTGCTGGTAGTGAATTGCTTTCCTGCCATTTACTTTAAGTTTTAAAATCTTTGGAATACTTTTCAAGAGTAGTTTATTTCTTACTTGGTTGCACACATGCTCTTATCCTCTATAAAACGGTCCAGTTCATAATAGTCTCATGGTTGAGATTCAAATGACACAAATATGGCCCCCTTATGGAGGCAGTGTAGAATTTGAAATGAAGACGGGGTGACATGTCTTTTGAAAGCCCTAAGGTAAATCTAATATTTATCCATATGTAGTCCTAATCTAATACAACTATCCAATTTTATAAATGAGTTAGAAAGGCTTAGAAAATTCATACCATCAAGTTGGAACTGACCCACAGATTTCCCTCCAGTGGATTTCCAGGGGCAATAAATTTCACAGGAGGAGATTCCCCAGTTCTCTCCCATGGAGCAGCTTGTGTATTTGAACTATATGCCTTTGGTTTGGCAGCACAATTTCTTGCCATTAAGCCACTCTTCCTTACATGAAGCCACCAGAGCTTCTTAAGTAATTTTAGGGTTGTGTAAATTCACACTGAAAACAAGGCCAAGATTCAAAGCCAAGTCTTTTAGACTTTAGTCTGGTTTCCTTTCTGCAATCTTCTTTGTACAGCTGATTAAAAAAATTCTAATTAGAAGTAAAACATCCCCTGGCCCTAAGGCTTATCATCAAATGTTGATTTCCATAAGTTTGACCTTAATAGGAATATGATTCAATAATAAAAACTTACATGGTAGATACAAACACAAGCGGAATGTAGTCCATTAGCCATTACATTATTCTAAAGTGTAGTTTATAAGAAACAATTTTATCTATTGTCTGAAAGAAAAGGTAAAGTATAGTATCCTATTATAGCAAGCAGACAATTTACTGAACTGGACATCACAAAGTGAAAATACACTGACCTTATAAAATGCCATGAGATGAAATGAAGTTCTTAAGTGCTAGGTGATATAATCATTATCTTGACTTTTCAAATTTTGTATGTATTTTGTTCTATTTCTTTTATGATCAAATTTTAATTAAAAGACAGTTCAAAGAGTATTCATATGAAAACAGAATCTCAAGGGATTATACTCATGCTTCATGACTTTATTGTTCAATATTTTAAAACAATCTTGAAATAGTGATAGTATATCTAATTTAAGCATTTAGAAAGCTGCCTGGATAACTTTGGCAAAATATAAGGAAGACCGGAAATTTCTCTTGCCATTTTGAGATAATTTAAGAAGATAGAAAAAGGCATTTTTACTTCTAAAAATGTTTGACTGCTCATTATCTCTCTTAAAGAAATGCTCAACAGAAAAAGGGAAGGGGATTATGGGTATTTATCTCTGTCAAGCTAGAATTAAGGTAGTACATCCAGGACACAAAGTTCATAACTACAGAGGGGTCACTACTTTTGAATAACTGCACACCATGCCCAGACTCGTCAGATGGTGCATATGGTTAACACACTTGGCTGCTACCTGAAAGACTGGGAGTTTAAGTTTACTCAGAGGTGCTTTCAAAGCAAGGTCTGATGATCTACTTCTGAAAATTTAGCCACTGAAAACCCTGTGGAACTCAGTTCTACTCTGATGTCACGGTATAGCCATGAGGTGGAGTTAGCTGGATGATGACTAGACTGGGATGCTCTATCTACTTTATACTGCTAGAAACAGATGCAAACAGAAAAGATCTTTCTGTGTAACATACAGTATATGACAGAAGAGAAATAGGATTTGTTATTGTTGTTGTTATGTGCTATTGATTGGCTTTAAACTCACAGCAATTACTTATTTCGAGAATAATTCACACAATAGAGTGAAAAGTAAAAACATTGCAGTCAACTCTACCCACATAGTTATAAAGATGAGATAGTAGTTGTTAAGGGGACACTCATAACTTCCACCAGGTTCTTACTCAAAGCAGTGGTCTGAGTGATTGCCTGAGAAGAAATTTCAATGTTGAAATTTGATAGTTTAGGATTTTTAATAGTTCTTTAGCAATGTGAGAATGTTTCTACTTTTCATTTGGCATCCACTTTTCTGTTTCAAGTTTCCCAATTCCTACAAAGATGTTCTGTTGTTTTATGGAAGAAGTGTTTCCACTACATTTAGCTGTTAGAAGATGTTGAAATAAGAAAGAAAATCTAACCTATAATCTATTTGACGCACACATACGTTGCCTTTTAAAAAATATAGACCATCTCTTTAAGCAAAGATTAGATAAAAAATTTGAAAGTCGAAATAAAACTAGAAGCCACTGAGTAGAAACCAACTCATAACAACTCTCTGGTGTGGGTAGAACTATACTCAATAAGGTTTCCACACATTTCTTCTGATTCACCTCTGGGAAGCTTTGTAACACCAGTTAGTAGTTGAACACTTAACCAAACATGCTAACAAAAGGACTGACAGAGGATGTTGGGATAAGAAATAAAGAAGAAGAGAGGTAATAACAGGCTTGAATTTACATATTGAAAAAGTGAAACAGGTTAACAGGTGAAGTTCACCCTAAATGAGCACTTGTTCCTACATGCTGGGAATTCTCATGAGTGGCTATGAATGAATTAATTTCCTTATTAGAATTTAATCCTCACAATAAACATAGGGGACAGCAGAAGGCAGCACAGAGAAGCCAAATAACTTGCTTAGGGCATGCAGTTTCCAAGTAGTGATGTGGTCAGGATAGATTCCAAGCAGTTTCTACTCCAAGTTATGCTACTCCCCAAGGATATCTTATTGTTTGGAAGTTTGAGTCGACCCAGAGGTAGAGAAAGAGCTGATGATCTCTTTGTAAAACCAGCCCCTGAAAACATAGGGAGTTTTGCTTAATATGTCATCTACTCTGACACAAGGTCTCTGTGAGAAGGAATCAATTAAACTACAACTGGTGTTTATTACATACTCTAATAAGAGAGTTCTGGTGACCCAGTGGTAAGGAACTGCACTGCCCACCCAAAGGCATGGAGTATTTCCAGTCCACCAACTGTTCTGTGAGAGAAAGATGGACAATCTCTTCATGCAAAATTAACTGTCTCTAAAAACTCATTGTAGGGTCTGCTATGAGTTGGTTCCAAGACTCCATACTTGACAACAACAATCAGCATTGTAGGGCATCTTCAGGATAGTTGACCTCCAGGGATAGCTAGAACACAAAACAAAACAAAACAAAACAAAATCCCAACCCATCAATGAAAAAACTTCTTTACCTGAGCATGATTTCTTTTGACTTGGAGGACGTGCAGACCGCACAACAATCAGATATTTAGGCTCCGCATCTGCAAACAATAACAGTATTATTTATTCAAGATAGGCATTCTTGACAGCACACCCACATCTGTCTGACTCAGAGCTCCTCGTACTGGACGTTGTAACTACACCACCAGCTTGTAAGAGGACCAGAGGTCTAAGAGACACAAAACAGCTCTCACTTATTTCCTTCTTTACTTATGGTAAGTATGGAAGTTGCACCCTTCTCATCCATTTTTTAGATAGTTTTCTCATTATGTTACTCTTGTTGTTAGGAGCTGTTGAGTCGAGTAGGAAGCGACCCCATGAACAACAAACATCTGACCGCTGTCCTACCCGGGGCCATCGTCACAATCTCCGACACTCTTGAGCCCACTGCTGCAGCCAGTATCAATCCAGAAATTGCACCCTTCTCGCCCTTCTTTTAGATAGCTTCCCCATTATAGCAACTCAAAAATAAAAGGCAAGCTTGTCAACTTTTTGCTTTACACCTCATGGCATTATGTGAAAAACTGTACTTTTGCTAGTTTTACCAGTGAGCATTGATTTATGAGTCAAATTTTTCCAGGTATTTGTTGTTGTGTTCCCCCCCTCCCCATCTTTCTTTCTCTCTTTTCTCAGCAGAACAAGATCACACAGACTGCTTTGACCCATGAAGACTCTCAGATAATAAAACGTTAGCTTGAATTTGCTGATTGAACTCTCACAGCTGACTATGGAATGCAGATGGTTACCAGAAACTGATCAACAGCGCCCCCTTCAAGTGGTGGGCAGAACGCACCATACTTCCCATACTATTTTTTTTCCATCTGAAATAAAACTTTATTGTGATTTAAACAAACGTCTACAGAAAAGTTGGATTTTTCACTCATTTATTGTTGCACATTTTCCTCCCTACCCCTCAAGTTGTCTTTTATTTAAAAAAAAAAAATAACAATTCATTGTTGCGTATTTTTCCCCTCCCCCGCGCCCCCCCTCCCCAGTCCACTTGGCTATGCACTTCTTACTCAGGACTACTGTCTGTCATACAAGTAATGTGTAATCATATATTCCTTTTAAACAATTTTTTTCCTTCATCTGTCCCAATTCAGTGTCTATCATTTATCCCCTCTTTTCTTAGTTTAGACTTACTTCTAGAGAGAACCTCAGAAGGCAGGATGTTAACACTTCCTGAAATTGCTAGGTCCATTAGGTTTTGAAAATGACAGATTTTTTTTCTTCCAAAACCAAATGGACAGAGGTAGTGGGGAAGTCTTTCATCATGCTAGATATAGATTTATTTTGTTTGTTTGTTTTCTGAAGGAGTAATTAACAGTTTATTACTTTGAAAAATGATCTGAAACTATCTTGTTGCACACAGATCTCTGCATTAGCCACTATCTGAATGAACCTTTTTTTAAAATAAAAAATTTATTCTATTTAATAAACTTTGTCAATAACAACACTGATTCTACAGTGTAGATGTTCACTCTACAGGTGAATAAACTATTAATAAATCATGCTAGATATAGATTTTACACCACAGTTTAATTATTTTTTTTTCTACAAAGTGATTGCTTTAAAAATAAGGTCACGGGCTTTATAACATCCTGCTTCTCATGGAAGAAAAGAGAGGGGGAGACTAGCCTGATGATTCAGAACCAGAAAAGACATTAACATAAAACACTTGAGTCTCAATCAAAAAAACCATCCACATTCAGGGAAATATGAATATTTATGATGTCTACCCTCATTTTCATCCAGTTCATGTGATGTGTCAGCTTGTTTTCACACCTGAACAGTAATTCAGATGGACCATTTGTTAACAAGGTTCAAATTTATATTTTGCGGATACATTTTACCTGAAATATACCAATAAAAATAAATTAGTAATTTTTAAAATATGTAGATTTTAAGTAAAGTTAGATTCAAGCAATATGTATGTACTAATTCAAGCAAGGGCTAATAATTTATAAGTTAATATTTTAAAAATTGGTACTACCAGGATAAATATTTGTTTTAAAAGTGTACAAATAAGCCAAATATGCTCAGGGCATACACAATAGCATTTTACGGCATATCGTTAGAAGGGACCAGTCCTTAGAAAAAGACATCAAGGTGGGGAAGATGAAGGGTCAGTGAAAGAAAGATCTTCAACAAGATGGACTGATACAGTGATTTCAGCAATGTCCTTGAACATGGCAGAGATTGTGATGATGGCTCAGCCTAGGGAAAGGTTAAAATCTGTTGTTTGGAGAGTTGCCAAGAATTCAAAGGTTAAGATCTATTGTTGGTAGAGTTGCCAAGAGTTGTAGTCAACTCAATGGCCATGAACAATAGCCTCAACAACTCCATTAGTTGGGTGTCATTATTTCTTCAGTAACCTTGGTCCAACACTATGTTGTTGTTGTTGTTGTCAAGCTCTGTCGAGTCATAGATGACTCATAGTGAACCTACGAATAAAAGACCTAACACTTGTGTAACTTTAATCATTTCTCCACATTCATAGTATTTCCAGATGCTATTTTGGAAGTAGATGACACTCCTGCTTCCAAGTTTGATTTAATAAGGGAGCTCCACCAAAAATTGTCCGCCATGGGTAACCATTATCACATTTGACACATCAGTGTCACAGTGTTCAGCATCACAGCAGCGATAAGTTGCTTCTGTACAGCAAATGGAAAGACCACTGCTATACCACTTAGAAGACTGTTTGACCAAAACCAAATAAAATCAGGCCTGAGGGCCACAGGTTAAAATCACCCACCTTTGGCTTGGTAGCATCACTTTCTGTCCACTAGGCCAACTGAGCTCTCTCTATGTTGTTGTTGTGGTTAAAGTTTTGCAGCGCTCACCCCATTCTCAGTTAAAGATAACATGTCAATTTAACTGCTATGAGTAAATCACACCTTTCTCTCTTTCTGGACATCCTGCATGGCCCTGTGTGGTATAACCATGCACATTAATTACCACTGTGTAGAGTAATCTAGATGTCAGCTGAATCTTGGTACGAAGTGGAGACAACTAGAAGGCTATCTATCTGTGTTCTACTGACTATACAAAGGCATTTGACTGCATGGATCACAACAAATAATGACTACCATTGAGAAGAATGGGAATTTCAGAACACTTAACTGGGTTCATGCAAAATGTAGACCTAGAACAAAAGGCTGCCATTGAAGCAAAGTAAACACTGTGTAGTTTAAAATCAAGAAAAAATGTGCACCAAGAATGTATCTTTTCTGCATATCTATCCAATTTTTTATAAATGTATCTTTTCTCCATAACTATTCATTTGAGAACCAGGACTTAATGAAGAAGAATATAACACCAGGATCAGAGAAAGACTAATCAACAAACTGCTTTATGGAGATGATACAACCTTGCTCACTGTATGTAAATAAGACCCAAGGAATTTACTGCAGGAGATCAAATAAAACTAAAACTCTCAATATGGGTTGTATCTCAATATCAAGAAAACAAAAATCTTCATTTATTGGCCAATAGGCAATGCATGATAGATGGAGAAAAGGTTAAAATTGTAAGTAAGTTCATTTTACTTGGATCCACAATCAACATCCTTGGTACCAGCAGTCAGGAAATCAAGACATGTTACATTGAGAAAATCTGAACTTTGGGACCTCTTCAAAGTGTTAACATATGCAATTTTGTCAATTTAAAAACTAAGGTGCACCTAATCCAAGTCATAGTTTTCTCAATTATTTGTTATACATCAGAATGTTGGACAAGGACTCAGGGCGGTAGAAGGATCAATGCCTTTGAGTTATGATGTTGAAGAAGAGGACTGAATGTCCTTTGGACTTCCAAGAGAACAAACAGGTATGTCTTGGACAAAGTGAAAATAGAGAGTCCTTGGAATTAAGGATGGTTAAACTTTGTTTCCTCTTCTTTAGTTTTTGGTTAGGGAAGATCAAACCCTGGGAAGGACAGCATACTTGGAAAGATAGGTCAGTGGAAGAAAAGAAGGCCTTTAATAAGATGGATTGGCTTGGTGACTGTAGTAATGGGCTTAACTATGTCCCAGATAGTGAGGACAGCACAGGATAGGCAAGGTTCAGATCTGTTGTTCAGGATGACCTATGAACGACAGCACATAACAACAACAGATTAACCCAGTCAACTTCTTTAAGTTCCTTCAAAAAGCTATGTCTGTTTATCACAGAGTTAGTTGCCAATGACACAGGTAAAGTAGTATTTGTTCCATTTCAGCCTCAAGTCTTTTGCTTTGTGGGACTCTACAAATGTGTACCAAACAGGTTCCCTTGTACAAATATAGTGACCATTTCCTAACTTTATTTACAAAAGAGAGCAATGTTGTTGTTGTTATGTGCC